GAGCTAGAGTTACTGCAACTGGGAGGTGGCAAACACATGGCATTGGCAAACAGGGCCACTGAAAAAACCAGTGAAAATGGATAAAGAGATGGGCAAAGATTGCAGGATGTAAAAGAAGAAGCTGGAGGAGGAAGGGCCGAACATGAAGATGGATTTGAAATAAATCGGTAGGGACAGTGCTTGTTAAGCTAACCAGATTTATTTCTCTGCCCAGAAATTCTTATGTCCTTACAAGACAGCATTGAAGCAAGGTCTTTAATTTTACTTTTCCTGGGTTTATTGCTTGGGCCTTAATGTTATTTAACAGCAGTGAGCGTCAACCAGTTTCATTGCAAAGCTGGACTTAATTCAAAATCGTTAAATGTGGTGGAAGCTTTTTCCTCTTGACAAAGACATCCTGAAAAGCTCGTGCTGCTCTGACAAAACATGGAAGTCGTGCACCCTAGGAGAATGGAAATACTGATGGGGAGAGCAAGGACGGGGAGACAGCATTCCCCCATCCCTCCTCCCAAAGAAATGATGAGAAAGCAGAACCGAAAACAGCCGGACATCACGATGCTGAGCACTGCTCAGACACCCCAGCACAGCACTGCGCAGGGAGGCAACAGAGCCCATCGCTCTGGGCTCCTCTTTTAGGCTTATCTTGAAAAGCAGACACATGTTTTATGCCTCTCTTTGCTTTGCCAAAATGGTGCAAGCTCTAAACAAGCCTCAGAGCTGGGTAACATGAATAATGGTGACTGGGATGTTCATGATGCACGCTGTCATAGTTTAAGGGGTTTAATCTCATGGGAAATGGTTAAGACAAGCAATACCCTGACGCGAGCCATCTCTAGGAAGCTGCTACAAGATGATGCTTGAGTTGTTACCTGTGATGAGTTTACTTCCAAGTCTTTACCAAGTCCTGTAACATTTGTTTTATTACTCAGGGCCAAAAGAGGGAACAGTGAGATCCCAGTAGTGCTGGGCTTGTTGGAAGGGGCTGTGCTGGGGACTGCCCTGCATCCTGCTAGGACACACGGCAAACGCAAGCTCGGACCATCAGTTTGAAATCCCATCCCCAGCTACCCAGTTTGAACAGCACACGGGTTTTTAACGGACTGGTCAAAACGCCACAAATCTCTCAATGCCGCTGCACAAGCGACTTTCCTCCTGGCTCCTCACTTTGGCCATGCCGAAATCTCACCTTTTGCGCTTTCTGCCCTCTCCCCATGAAATACAAACTGCTTCTCTTTGCCTTGAAGGTCCCACGGCTTAGCTTCTCTCCGTCCTCACCTCTAATTCACCCCTAAGCATACGGGGAGCATTTGGGATAAAGCTTCAAGAATGCATTAAATGTAAATTATTATTCCCCTTCTAAACGGATTACAAAAATCTTTTTATTACAAAATATTAAAATGTTCAAATTATTGGTGTGGAAAAACGTTTCCTGGAGGTAAAGTTTTTAAAAATTGAGTTTTTAATCACAAGCATAATCCTTTCTGGCTAACACTTCCAGTCTTGTGAAGCATCTAGATACAAATTGCACAGAGGCCTGGCTGTGCTACGAACAAAGGAAGATGCTGCCTGTAAATAGCTTAGAGGACATCAGAAGACACTTCTCTCATCAGCAATCTTTTTTAGCTTAATATAGCTCCTCTTTGCATAAAGCATTGACATTTTTGCAATGTTTGGACCCAATGGTGCGAATGCTGATTGTCATCCGAAGATACTAGAGTGTACCTTCAAAAATGTGCAAGAACATTTTTCAGACAGTAGTTTTACTTGCCTCCAAAATGCTGTATCTTAATATTTCATACTTATATATATTTAAATGTTTGTACCACTGGATGCTAACATGCTTTTATGCTAATGCAATCACTGAAAATCCAGATAATGTTGTGTATTGGCATATACTGTTAGTGAATTATGGATACCTAAATGTACAATCCCACATGCCTAGCAATTATTTTTGTTAGTGCATTTAACTTTTATTTGCAATCAGAGCACTTGAGGATTGTTCAAATGAAGTTTACTTTTGTAAACTGCTGAATGGAAAACATTTTGTTAAAGGTTTAAAAACAGTAAGACTGTGATGAGGTTGCAGAGTTGCAATAAGGGCACCTCTCAGAAAACTCTACCAGATGGAATGATGTTTGATTTGGTCACAGACTCGGCGATTAAAATCCAAATGCCTAAAATGAAGGACATATAAGAGAAACAAGAGATGAAATCTTGATTTCCTCCTTACCAGATCACCCTCTTCCACAGCAGAAGCTCACAGATAGAAGCAGATGGATGCCGGGAGGACAGCATCCATCCAGGCAGCACCCTGGCAGCTAGACCCTGGGACCCTTTGCCTTGAGGACCAAACTCTCCTGTGCTAAGGCTGCTTTTCAAGTCCAGTTTAAGCCAAATAAAGTCCAGTTAAGCCAAATAAAGGCTTAAAGGAGGGAGAAGTCGTGAACTACCCCTGCTGTACCTTCTCCTCCTCCTCTTTCTCCTCCTACTGCCTTTGCTGATCCAACGTCTTGGCCAAGCCACCTGGCCCGTTGGCTCAAGGAGCTGATCCACTTGAAAACCATTTTATCCCAAATCGGTTTTCAGCACAGCCAGACCTCTGAGCCAGGTACCAGCTGGACTGCGTGCAGGCAAGACTTGGGTGATGCGGCTGGTTGCTCCATCCCTTACTTGCTTCACTACATGATCAGAGTTAAAGACAACACAAATCTGGAGAAGACTTGGATATTTTTAAGAGTTGAAAAGTTCTGGATGTGACCCAAGCACGTCTGAGACTGCTCAGCATCCCGTGGTTTTCTCCTGCATAAAACAACTTGCCTACAGACAACGCCAAGCTCCCTCTTCCAGATTCAGCTGCGCCAGGAGTTAATGACCTCCCGGGCTGGGCTGAGGAGCTGCTATGATCATGCCCTGATTTTCCTCTGGGAAGGTTTGCCTGGCTTGAAACCGCTGGCCTGAGCCAGCCTGGCTGAAGAGACCTGGGAGGTGGCCACAGACCCATTTGGTGAGCAGCAGACCATCACCTCTTGCCCAGGCATGGCTCAGCATCCAGCGTAGGATGTGATATCAGCCCCAGGCACACGAGTACGGATCAGATTGTGGCCCTACAGCCCAGCGAGCTGTGGTACCTCTGGGCATCTACTGGAAAGACCTACCACCTAACTGAGGCCCCTAGGAACAACCATGAGTGAAGGAAATAAACAACAACCCCTCAGAAGAACACAAGACATCAGAAAACGCTTAGCGTGAAGTACTTGAAATGCCCGCGGCGGTTTAAATGGAGCACGGAATAAGCTGAGAAAATGTATGAACAAACAAATTAAGCAGATAGCACAAAGCAGACAAGTTGGCATGTAGGTGTCTATTGAGAAAGCTTACGCACAGCAAGGGGGAAAAAAAGCAAACCCAAAAACCAGCCACAATATTTCTCAGATTTTGGAACTGAGCTCCCAGACAATACATCATCCAAACCACTCAAAATTACCATCTGTCAGAATGTCCTTTAAAGAAAAAAAGGTCTAAAAGTTTCCAAAGCAGTATTTTAATATTGTCGTATTAGAAAAGAGATTGTTTCTGTCCAAAGAAAGGCATTTGCAATTATCGAGGAATACTATATAAAACCATTAGTTTCATGGCCATTGCTACACACTTATATGATGAGACAATGAATTTCTTGATTCTTGATCATGTCACATTAGCTAAATCAGGAAAGAAGCGATTTAATAGCCCTTGTCATTTCGCAGGTTACCTGCAAATGTTTCTAGAGCCTCTACATGATTTTCTCTTTATGAAACATATCATTAAGAGTATACATGCTATTAAAGAACCTAAGGAAACAATTACAATATTGCTACAAACATTACGATACGCCAGAATATGAAGAGTGGGTCTGTGTTTCTGATGTGAAAGAGCACATCTTGTCATCAAGTCAAACTCTGTTTCAAAATACAAGCTGGATCCTTTCCTGGTGTAAATCTGGGTACCTGCTGCTGTCCACGAGGCCATATTACTTCATGCATGCTGAGGACCAACTGCATCGCATACAAGATTGCAAAAGAAATGCAGATTTGTAGACTACATATTAGACTAAGTGATAAATAATTTACAATGGTGGAGAAGGTGACCACTTTTAGGCATAGGAATAGGCAGATATAATGGTCCTGACTTTCAATCTTCACGCTGCACTTCTGACCTTGAAGCTTAGGTCCATCCAATGTATTTCTAAAAAGTCTCTGCAGATGGGAATGTGTAACACACACACCCTAAAGCCCCAAAACCCGTAAAACAAAAAGGGCACCAATAAAACCCACTGAGCCCACATGGTACCACCTGTAGCACTACACGTTACGCTCTGGCACAAGGCTGACTGGGCTCCTTCGGGCAACAGCCGCCTTCCAACGAACCGCAAGCATCCTTCAGACCAGTCTCTTCTTGATTCAGCGGGCTGAGCTCTGTTTCTAACCCTGTGTCTAATCGACACCCCTTTGGTTATGCCTGTGGGTCAGAGGCATGTGTCCGAGGGGCTAAAAACCCCCCTCCAAAGACCACGAGAGTTGCTGTGTTTCTGAAATCAGCATCTCGCTATCCTAAAGCGGCCTAGGAGCACGGAGCAGGAGGGAGAAAGGAGCTCCCTGGGGCACTCACAACTGCACCATCCTCCAGATCTTCCTCCGGAGAGGGCTGCCAAGGGGAAAGGAGGGGAGGCAGAATTATTCCCCTCAGACTTTGTAAAAACAAGGAGCCCAGGGAAATCAAGAAACAATCACAGCTTCCACACCAAATTAGTTCTGGCTAAGTCTAACGAGCAGGGTGAGGACACACTGACAAGAAGACCAGGGTAAGTGGTGCTGCAAGGAAAGGGCTAGGCAGGGGAGAAGACAACTTGGCCGTGTCGCAGGATGAGAGAAGCCTTCAGCTCCTGCTATTAGAAATAAATCAAGAGAGCTGAAGAGAAGCACAGAGCCCATCCAGCCTCCTGGGCTGGGTGGGAGAGAGCTCACCTGGACAGCGCGGCTCCCAGGACGAAGGCAGCGTGCTCCTTCAGCACGGCCTCGGTGCTGTTCAGCCCGTCGATCACAAGCTGGAGTCCACCCATGGAGAGGAAGTCCTTGGCGTTGTCCACCTGGGAGAGAGCAGGTCCCCATCAGTACGAAACCCCCAGCCAGATTCTACTCAACTCGTCCAGAACGCCTTGCTTCAGAAAGCACAGCATCTCTTCCCTCCCCGTCTAACCAGCGCTGAGTTTTAAAAGCAATTAAAAATTAAGAGGGAACGACTGTGGCTCGAATTTTGTACAATCCTGTCTGTGAGCAGCAGATGCCATGGTTGCAGAAGCACAGTCTACTGGCAGGTGGCTATTATCACATGCAGAACGCATCGCTGAAAACTCAAATACTTTGATTAGCTATCAAAACTATTCTTGACACGTATTTCGGTAATTCACGTCATGTCAAAAATTCGGTAAATCTGATGATGTCAGAAAACCCCAGTTCTTTGCTCTCTCACCTGAGCAGGCCATTACTGGGAACCCAGGGAATTGTATGTTTTGCAAATGCAATTAATTAATTGATGCTCTAATTGTAGCACCAGGAGTTGGGGATGTTTAAGAGCCTGTCAGCAGCAACGGTACACGGGCAGCATCACCTCTGCTCGCAGCGAGGTTCTGCGTGGTTCTGGGTGTTTTTCATGAGGATCGTCAACAACTTCACGCGGACGCAAAAAGAAAAAGCCAGTCCCTGCTTGGAAGGGTCAGCCAGGAGCTTCCCCTCGGGGCAGCCTGAGCAATGATTTTTCTAAGACAATATTGGACTAACTGCCAGTAGGGAAAAGTTTAAACATTAGTGGGGATTCATCAGTCTTTGACATTAACCAGACTTGGGGCTAACCAGGCACAAATCACAGTGGGCATCTGTTCTCGGAGTGGAGAGTAGAAAAAGGCTCCACGTGGCTCGCAAACAAAATTTAGAGAAACAGTGCAAAGTGCTTCAAGTACAAAATTGGGCCCAAAGTCAAACCAATGCATTTTGGTTTTCAAGGATTTTTTTTTTTTTCAGTTTAAAAGGGAATCTGACGAACGCTCAGAATTGTATGCACAAAAAAATCAGTTTTAGAATTTCAACATTTCTCCTCCCTGAAAGACAGGAAGACAACAGCATATATTGGTGGATGGAAATAGAACATAAAAACGAGTTATCAGCTGGGCAAACCGACCTCCCTGGCTTCAGCGAGCAGATCCCACCGATGGGGTGGGACAGGACAAACAATGCGAGGCGTGCAGGGTATGTCGGGCTCAGGCATCGCGCTCCAGCTTGAAGGCTCTTTTAGTCGACAGTGACTTCACGCTTAGTGTTATATTTATCTCAATCGTGTACCTTCACCAAAATTGGCCCTAAGCCGGATATTTTAGGTACCCAAGAGAATGAAGAAGCTACTTAGCTATATGTCCTACAGGTATGTCTTTACCAAAGCAGGACCTGGGGAGCTACGACTCGTCTCTTCTCCGCAACGGGACAATACCCACCACTTGCTGTCCCTCTGCAAAGCCAGCAACAGAAAACTGATCTCTGCAGGTCTGCTGGGGCTGATTCAGGATTTGCAGCAGCTTTTGTATCCTTTCAGATCCTATTCTTTTAACTGTCCCTATAAACTGGACCTACCAGACCTCTTACTTTTTTGCAGGCCCATCTTTGTCTACAAAGAAATCTATGGAGCAACCCAATTTCAGCTATGGGTGGGTGCTTTTATTGCTCAGCCTCTGTAAAAACTCTGAGGCTGTTTTAATACTGGAATTGGACATTGACTTCTGCTCAAGAGGGAATGCATAGACAGGCAGAAGTTTGCATCCAGCATCACTCGTGGTAAAACCAATCGTTCCTGTATCCTCATCAGCACCGGAGTCCTTCAGGCCAGCCACAGCGTCAGTGAGACACCTCAACTGTAGAATACAAATTGTGCTGTAAAGCCTATTTTGAAGATGCTTGGGTTTTTTTTTAACTGGAGTCTGTTGTGAGATCTCCTTCTCTCACTCACCGTTTTAAAACCAACAAAACCCCCAAACCCAACAACGTGAAGGTATTAACCTCTCTGGGGAGCGGAGGACGCTGTGAGGCAGCAGCTCGTGCCTCGTTTCAGTCCGCTGAAATCAGCACGGAAGAAAGTCAAAGATCAAAAGAGCTCTTGAGTAAAGTACACAGCCAGGGTGGGCGAGGAGAGGGATGGGAGAAGAGCAAATATGACAGCAGTTATTCAGGGAGCCGCTTCAGATCAGAGGAGAAAGAAAACGGGGAGGGGAGGCGAGAGAGAAAATGTTAGAAAACGAGAGCAAGGAAGAAGCAGCATGTCAACCGTACACAACGGAGAGGAAATTAGCAGTGAGAAATGGTGTAGCATGTTAGAGGAGGGGAGAGAGGAAGATAAGGAGAGTAAATAATTGAGAGAAAGAGCCTGCAACGCATGAGAATGGGTCTTGGCTCTGCACACTGCTGTGCAAGCACTGTGAATTCTGTTTATAAATGAGTTATGCTCTGGCCTCTTCACATTTACATTTGGTTTTTATGCGTTACAGATAACCTAGCAAGCCAAACCTTTCTCCAAGATGGGCTCCCAAACACGCCAAGTTGAATCCTGACTGATGAGAAGCAAACCAGAGCTGGCAACCAAAAGCTGAGCAAACACAGAGCCCCTGGGCTGACTCTTCAAGAGCAGGAGAGAGCATCGCTCCCCCAGCTCGGCACCGGCCATGGCTTCCCCTCCGCTCCCTCGCAGCTAGCTCAGAGGCATGGGCTGCTTCATGAACCCGCGCCGTGGGATGCCCGTGACCACGCCGCGGAGCAGAGAGCATCCTTTGCTTGCAAACCTGCAGGGCATGGCATTTTCCCTTCACCAGGATGTTTTGTGCTCTGGTGTTTTGCAGCAGCAAGGCAGCCGGAAGCCAAACGATTAGCAAAAGCTGTGGCACGTTACCATTCAGATGGAGGCCAGGGGAAAAGGAGCCGTCACCAGTCCCATGCATAGGTGCGTGCTGCCCTGGGCCACCCACACCTGCAAGGATCCCTGTCCTCCAGCAGCACGGCCATGGCTCGCCGCAGAGGACTCCTGACAAGTTCAGCCCTTCCAGGGTTATGCGGCACAAGCGTATTTGGCTGCTATTCAGTAATTACATTAAGCCAGCGCTGCTAAAGTCAGTACCAAGCAGAGATAATGCTCTGGACGCATTCAACTGGCTGGAAGAAGAAAGAGGAGGAAAAGCCATGCTGGCTTAGAGACAAGTCATATTTCTTATCAGCTTCCTGCCTGATGAGAAGGTGCTGCCCAGCCATCTGCCCCGAGAGCGCGGGCACAGAGCAACGTTGTGATCGATGCACAAAGGAGTCCTCTGTGCTCCCTGCCAGCCTCCCTGCCATTTCCCCCCTTCTGACCCCTTTGGTGCTGGATGTGGTTCCCTTTGATGCTCCAGGCCCCGCACAGGGAGCGGGGACGGCTTCCCTGCTCCTCTCGCCTTTCGGAAATTGTTTGCCCCATCCCGTGCTGCAAGCAGGCAGGATTTTATGCTGGAATAGTCCAGACTTACGCTGGAAACCAAAGGATCCCAGGGTGTTTGGGGGTTGCTTTTTAGCATGCCTGGCCTGATGCACTGCCACCCTTAACCAGACAGAATTAGCCCTGAGTATAAATACGAAGCTTTTCGGACGCCCATTGTTCACACTTACTCTCTGAGTCAGACAGATGCTGTCAGTGAAACAAAAGCATTGAGAACAAACAGCAAGGAAGCTTCTGCATGCGTATGACAGAGATTTAGCGTGAAAATTCAAGACAAAGAGCTCTGGAAATAACACTTCTATTAGCTGGTGCTTGGACTCCATCTCTCAGCAGCTCATTCCTTCAGCTATTTTCCCCAAAATACCACATTTGGTTTTAAGAAATGCCATTCCAGTGAAAGGTCTTGCACTGGCATCTCCCAAGAATTGTCCCATTCACCCTCTGAAAAGATAAAGTCACTGGAAACTCTCCCAGTCTGCTCCAGATTCTCCCAGTCGCTGGGGAGGGAGAAGCCCAGCCTTTTCCCATGAGGCAGAACACAGCCTCCATGCCCAGACACCCACCCAAGCCGCTGCAGCGTGGGAAGGCACCAAGCACAAGGGAGGAGAGCGGCGTGCCCGGAGCCTGCAACCAATGGGAGGTAAAAATGGGCGAGTTGAAAGCAGAGCAAGAGAGATCTGAGGAGGGGGGAAAAGTGTGAGCATAAACCTGAGGAAGCGAGATTTCAGGAAATACACTCAACCTCACACAGAGCCATTAGCACGGCTCAGCTGATGCTCAGCAACTTGCCATTCGCCTGAGCCTCTTCAGCCATTTCTGCCACTGGCCCAGCTGTGAGAGAGGCTCTACACTCCATTTCTTACTCACACCAAGACAAAATACAGGCTTTTGGGTGGCTGTTGTCTTCCCTGGTATGAAGACATTCTCTGTGAACTGGTGTAAGAGGACCTACCTGCAACCACAGATGCTTTCCATGGAAGAAGTGAGAAAATAATTTTTTTTTTAGCAGCCGTTACTATACTTACCCAAAAATGGCAGATAAAACCCCATTTCATAAAATTTAGCATATAAAACAAGAAAAAGAGAGGGCAAGAAAAAAAGCCTGAGGACAGACAACAAATCAGGCGGTGCTAACCGCTAGGAAACTGCTCAGTACTGGTACGAGCGACAATTTATTCAAACTTGGACATAAAATAAGCCTGCAGTAGCCCTCTGCTGTCTGTTATTGTCCCAGGATTATGATAATTCAGCAATTTGTATTACCTGATACCGATAAGAAAAATAAACCCACGTTTATGACACTGTATCCCCTGGATTTTACACAGTAGTTACTAATGCATTTTTTGTTACCTGGTGAACATAATATTCAAGATCATAAAGCGCCGCTACTTTTTCATCCAGCGTGGAATCAGAGCTGTTGAATTTGCCAATTAATTTAACCATAATTTCATAATCTGTTTCCATCTTCACGTTCAGCTTTTCAAACTCCTCCTTCAGCTGCTCTATGGGCCGGAACTTCTTCCTCACCTCTTCCTCGTGGGCCTTGAAAGCAGAAGGAGGAAACCAGATATGAAGGCAGGTGATAAAGAGAGTCAAGAAAGACGTAGAGAGAAACCCCAGCCCCAGTTTTACAAGGGGAACCTGGCTGTCTATGCAAACGGATTTACTATGCATCAGAGATGCAGGGGCAGCGCTGGAGGGCCCTTCTGAGCAGCCCAGGAACGCAGTTATCTGTAAGACACCCACCTGGGGTACCAGCAAGCACTCCCCGAGGACCTGAGCCTATACCTAGGGCTTTGTACACCATTTCTACATCCTATGCGCCTTCCAAAACAACGTAAAGCCCAGAGGCAGGCGGCACCCCTGTTCTCTGTTTGCCTGCAAGCGGATGTTCTCAAGACCTGACTGCAAAAAGCCCTGAGCAACCTCCCCGACCTCACAGCTGACCCTGCTTGGAACCGGCGGTGGGGCTGGAGACCTCCGGAGGTCCCATCCAGCCTGAACTGGCCAGTGACTCCAGGCCAGTGACATCAAGGAGATCTCCTTGGATGGGTATGAAGACTTTTTCATCATCCCAATCACTTAACACGTTTTCAGGATGGCTTTATCTCTCAGGGAAACGTATGCACTCGCTGTCGAGGCCAGAAGCTGTCAGAAAGCAAGGCAGAAGGACCAGCTGCAAGATGGGGGCAGCTGAAGTGCCATGGGGCTTGGCCAGGAGGCAGCTCGTCCTGCAGCGTGTCTCGTCTCCCTCATACGAACAACACTCCAAGGGCTGCGATGAACCAAGAGAGCTGCGGAAAGGCGTGCAATGAGAAGGAAAAGGCTCTGCCAGAGATCTAAGAGAGTCCCAGAGCCAGCAGGGACCAATTCTCCAGCATCAGCACTGGTGACACTGGGGCAGGCGGGGACAGAGCCTGCTGCTGCAGGCGACGGAGAAAGCAGAGACTGAAATGGGCTACCCCAAGAGCAGGAGAAAGCAAGAAAGCCCCTTTTGAAAGGGATTCTGTCACAAACACAAATACCAAAACATGTTTTTATACAGGAGTGACACCCAACTAGAGGGTTTGCATGTGCAGTGCTCCCCCCAGCAAGCACTGCCCCGCTCCCCAAGTGTGAACAGAAGCTGAGGGCTCGAGCCATCAGAGAGGAAAAAAAAAAAGTGATGGAAGTAAAGCACTGCCAATCTAAGGGCAGCCGTACAATCGGCGCTAACGACTACTGGCCTAATTACTATAGGTACCGCGTGGTAACAGAACGCCATCCCCACCCCAACCGCACAGAATTGCTTTTGCAGGAGCACAGACGGGAACATGCCTGGTGTAACTCAATTTACTTTGACACAGTTACTTCAAGGATGAATTTGCTCCCTGCAGGAGTGATTTTAAATGGAGTACTTTAGGTCCATTAGATGTAGCTCGTTTTAGCCCAGTTGCCGGGCTAACAGGATTTTTTAAAATACAGCTTATTTTCACATAATAGAGTATCACTAATTTTTGCATTTAAATGACACTCATTTCAAGAAGTCCTGCTATCAGTAATGTTCGCTGCTACATAAACGATCTTTCAGAAAACTAAATAATGCCCTGGTGCCAGATAGGGGGAAAAAAAGACTTTCTGCGACTTTAAGACTTTAGAGCCTTGACTCCTACCACTGAGACAACATCAAGGCACAGGCGAGCTAGGGCCTAAGGAAATACTGCTGCGTGAAAGAGGGGAAAAAGGCTGTGATCCACCTGATGAGTCGCATATCATCCCACCAGTGCCATGCCAGTGGCTGGGGACCAGCTCCAAGCCTGAACAGGGTGCAAGCAGCACTTACATTCTATTTTACTTTGGATTGTGGACTATTTGTAACCAAATGGGAACTTACAGCTTATATAAGGGAACTTCAGCCTGTGTTTCACCACGGCCATTTGGTTTTTACTACCCAGGGCATGAGATTGGAAACTTAAACCATGAGATCACTTCTGGATCCAGCTGGGCAAGTAGCAGGGGATGCTATATCCAGTGGCTTGTCACCATCAGCGAATCCAGAACAGAAGCACCTCAGCTGCACAACAGTTTTTGTACTTTCTCATGCTAAAAGGAGGATAGTGAACAGCAAAGTAAGTTCCTTTACAAATACCATCATGCTGCAATTCAGTCCACTCTGGGGGTCTGCTGACATTTTTGTGAACCAAGCGGCAACAAATAACAATCAAACAAATAAATCAAAACAATGGATAAAAATACATCCAAACAATGGAAAGGAAATCAGCCTGTAGGTTCACACCAGCGTTTGCAAGTTACTTTTTTGCATTATTAATTCAGGTTTAATCACACTGGTACCAGAAAACTTAGGGGAGCAGCATCACACCAGAGAGCTTACTGAACGTACCTGCTTTGGGTTCAGGAAAGATCCCATAGCTTCACTTTAGCATTAGTACACCAAGAATGGCAGTAAGAAATTTGGTGTCTGGATGGCTCATGAGGACGGTTATGTGGACACTGTGTGTCTAGTTTGCTAGTTGAGATCCCACTCACTTGAGTAAAGACCAGAAAGCAGCAGCGTCTGATGGCCGATCTGTCGCTAAACTGCTGATCTCAGCCCACTCCCCCTCGACAGCCCATGGGATAATTACTACCTGAACTATGAGAATATACATAAGTATATATATATACTTATGAGAAACACCCTGAACTATGAGAATATACTTAAGTACTTACAAGCAGCTTGCAACACAAGGCCTTTAAGTTTGAAATGAATAAACCGGACCTGAACAGAAGTTTTCCATTTTTACAGAAACTCCCTGATTAGTACAAAAAGGGGTAAGAGTCTCCCAGGGAACTATATCACTAACAGGCTAGCAAAAGTATTTTAGGTCCATATTCACCATAGATTAGTCTGCACAGTATTTTCCCAAGCAATTATTTTAACCATGATATTCCTGAGACATGTAACGTGTAACATCTGTGTACTGTGCCTTGCTTTAGAAACAGGGAACTCTCCTTACCTTTCTTTCTGCCTTCTCACTTTCCTTCATTTTAGCCAACGCCTTTTTGAGCTCCTGGGATGTGAAAGAATTTGAGTCAACATCCACCTTGCCCAGCCTTGCAGAGGAAACAAAACAAAACACGTTATGAGTGAACAATTTATAGTATTTTCATTGTGATATACTAGCAATGGATAATGTCAGGAGGAAAGGAACTAAGAGCACTAAGATCTCCATGCATCTCACTTAAAACACACAAAACCCCTCCACACTCAAGAAAAGATTTGTCTGAGTGCTATATTTTGTGCGTGGTTTCCAGACACCTCACCCCGACAATCAAAAAAGGCTCTGTAATCTGCACAGCAACCCAAAATCTCAAGTCCTAACACAATAAAAATAGCTGATTAATTTATGCCTCTGAATTTCATGTAGCAATACAGAAAAGTAGGAAATGTTTCAGAAGAAAAACAAAAAAGCACCACTGTGCCACTAAATCATTGCTAAGAACTTGCAAGCTTTAATATGGAGATTTACAGCTGAAGTTCTGATGATAGTCGTATGCAAAGTTAAGGTAAGGGTGATGCAGTAGGTATAGTCTGTTACAGTACCTCTTATTCCATACTGCTCGCTTCTTTAATTCTAAACAATGAAGATTTGTTGCTAATTACACAGAAACGCTAAAAACCATGTTGTGTTGCTGTTTACGCCTATCTCACTGGTTCAGAGAGTGTTTATCTGGGCCACAAACACTCTTGCACAGAAAAAAGGAAAGCCAGCCGTTGAGGCACCATGAAGCTAAAGAGCCTCTCCGTGCTCTGAACAGGAGTAACTGGGGGAGCGAGGGAAGCAGTGGTAAATCCCACGCTCTTTAGGAAAGAAAGTTCCCCACAGTAACTAAACCTGTCTTTGTTAGGAGGGTGCCAAGGGAAAAGTCAGCACCAGTGAAATATTTAAAACAAATTTAAAAATGTGAGTACAGAGAAAGCTATGTGATCTAAGGAGAACGTCGGCAATAACTGATGTGTAAATGAATGCTGCAAGCCTGCTGAGTGCTCCAAGTTAAAAACAATGTTATCTGGCTTAGGTCAACACAAACAAAACCTCTCACAACTGCTCTGATGGTTTAAGCTCTGAAAGTAGTTTCAGACTGATTGCTGCAGATGTTTCCAAGGACTAAATGTCATTCAAAGAAGCCACATTGCAAATTCAGTTTCGGTGTCATGGCATGAGAAGCCTCAAAGATGCAGACATACTCAGGGCACTTCTACTACCATCCCGAAGGGATTGCAAAGGACGGGGCTCAGTTTTCACTGCTGAGCCCTTAAACCAGCAATTAAATCTCAGGAAGAGACAGCAATTGAGCGCACCAGGGAACCTGGCCTCTAATGAAAGACATGAATCCCGCAGCCGACCCACCCCTGATGCTTTGCATCACTGTACCTTTTTCTTCGTCTCTCTTCTCTCGCGTCACTTTTTCCATTTTCGCTATCTGGGAGCTTGGCTTCTCTGTCTCCCGTCTGCAGATTTAATCGTACGTGTGACCCTGCAGGAACAGCTTGACCTACAAACAAAAGTCGGACTATTTTAGAGCATGTGCATTATTTCACCTTTGCGCAGGAAGGGCGAGCTGAAGGCGCACGCTCCTACCCGAGAAGAAAGATATGAAAGCCTCGTCCCACACGGTGAACAGGAGCAAGCTACCCGCCGATGACCACTCTCCCCTCCAGCAATGCCCCTTTGACCCAAGTGCCATTTTAACCTCGCAGAGATGCCAGCCTGACCCACCGAACGCGTCCCCGGGCAGCCGGGCTGGCTCTGTGCCGCAGGGGAGGAGGGACCCCCAGCAGAGCAGAGCACTGGGTCCCTCCTCCCTCCCGGGCCAATTCCTAAGAGCACACTAAAACTCCACACCAGGAGCGGATTTAGAGACTATTTGGAGAAAGGGGAATTGGTGGCTGATTGGGGTAGACAGCATAAAATACAGCTGCCAAAGGGAAATCAAAGCATACTGCAGAGTACAGCCAGGTATGCTGAATATCAAGGGTACTGAGGCGAGGCTGCGTTGGTTTGGAAATACTGTATTAAAAGGAATATATGATCATTACTATCTGCCAACAAAAATACACGGAATACATTAAGCTTCGGTTTTAAATGCAGAAAAGATGGGAAATTCAGAGTGTTTTTTCTTGGTCACAATTCACCACAAGCATGCCACGATGGCCCGCCGTCGCAGAGGGATGGAGAGGTGGCAATATTTGGTTGCTTCTTGATGTCGCTTCCTCTTCTTTTAATGCTAGAAATCTGCCTGCTTAGGAGAGCGGGGTCGCAGCTGAACGAATACAGAGATCTTAGCTGCACACGGATGGACAGCCAGACACACAGCTGCTCATGCTCCTCTCTCTCAACGAGGTTTCCCTACTCAGCCTTTCCCTTATCTGTTTCCTTTTACCTAAAAAGATGCCTAGGATAAAATACCACAGCATGTAGAAGACAGGTAGCATCTCCTACCAAAGGGAAGCGAAGATAAGGATAATTATTTCATACAATACATACATGTTTCAAAGACAAAATCCTCCAGTCTAGGGAACAACTGGATTAATCTCCCTTCTTCAAGACAAAAGAGACATTTCACTGATCAAAGGACCTGGTGCTTCCTACAAAAGACTGGGATGTTTGTCACAATTCAGAGAAAAACATTTCAAAGCCCAAAGCCATCCAGCAGGTATAAATGCGTTCAGAAAAACCAGGAAAATCCATTTTGGAGGATTTCCTGTTAAAACAGGGTGCATTTCTGATAGCTCCTCTTTCTCTCCACCATACCCTGTCCATAGGAAGTTGCCTTGGTCAGATATGCGAGGGGACAGACCTAATTACCTTCCCATCTTAAACTATGCAAGGACAATTGGTCAGATATGCGAGGGGACAGACCTGACTACCTTCCCATCTTAAACTATGCAAGGACAGGCTAGATATGCCTCCTCCACGCTTGGCATGCTTCCCACCGACAGACCCAACCCTTTTCCTGCTCCTTTACTTGTGATACACAGGAGCTTTAATCTATATGTCTATCTAGAATCATAGAATCATTAAGGTTGGAAAAGACCTCTAAGATCATCGAGTCCAACTGTCAACCCACCACCACCATGCCCACTAAACCATGTCCCTAAGCGCCTCATCTACACGTCTTTTAAATACTTCCAGGGATGTGACTCCACCACTTCCCTGGGCAGCCTGTTCCAAGGCCTGACCACTCTTTCAGGAAAGAAATTTTTCCTAATGTCCAGTCTAAACCTCCCCTGGCACAACTTGAGGCCATTTCCTCTCGTCCTATCGCTGGTTACTTGGGAGAAGAGACCGCCCCCCACCTCGCTACAACCTCCTGTCAGGTAGTTGTAGAGCGCGATGAGGTCTCCCCTCAGCCTCCTCTTCTCCAGGCTAAATAGTCCCAGTTCCCTCAGCCACTCCTCATCAGACTTGTGCTCCAGGCCCTTCACCAGCTTCGTTGCCCTTCTCTGGACACGCTCCAGCACCTCAATGTCCTTCTTGTCGTGAGGGGCCCAAAACTGAACACAGGATTCGAGGTGTGGCCTCACCAGGGCCGAGTACAGGGGCACGATCACCTCCCTACTCCTGCTGGCCACACTAGTTCTGATACAGGCCAGGATGCCGTTGGCTCCTTCTAGAGGAGCATCTTCCCACTTTCAAAAGGTGAGCTTTGCAGGAATTCGCTGCGATAGCAGAGCTGTCCCCCTCACAGGCGATGCAGGCAATGCAGCCAGGACATGCCAGTCGAAAAGGAGTTTGTAGGATCTCCGCAAAAAGGACAATACCACATCTCCTCTCCCTGTTTCAGGACACACCGAGGCAGGGGGCTGCCACCAAGGAAAAAAAAAAAAAAAAAAAAACATAAAACGGTATTGTGTGCTGAACATACAGACACATGAGGATGTCCTCCTCCTCCACGGGCACAAACACCACTTAAGGGAGAAAGCGAGGGGCGAGCTGGGTCCTTCCCTTCCCAAAGCCAGCGGCTTTCCTCGCCGGGTCACAAGCACTGGTTGCAACCATGGCACTCAGTGGAGCAAGTCCTGAATTGTCAAGCGCAGCCAGAAATAAATGTCCCCGTTAGAAAAGTACAGTATATTCTGGCTGTTGTGCTCCCGGTGCATCTGGCCACATTAGTTCACTTGGTTGCCAGGGGAGAGGAACGAGGCTGATGGGCTTTGCTTAAAAGAAACATCAAAAGGGAAAGCAAGGCAGCCCTCCAGAAGGGCTGAGCTACTCCCGTGTGACCGGTCCTCCCAGCTTCTATTTTCAGCAAGTGGTAAATAAAAGAAAATGTGAACCCCGGCAGGCACAAGCTCACAAACCCAGCGCAACCGAATTAAGGAGGTTGCCATCAGAGAAGACACAAACCTTTCCTGCTTCTGCTTCTTCGCACTTTCCTAAACGAGATTTGACTGAGACCATCCAAACCCCAGAGCAGAAATCCCAGCCCTGATGTATTTAAGCAGCTTTCATTCCTAGAGGGATTTCTTCTTGCCACTGTGCACAGCAGCACAGGTTCATGCCACAGCAAGACAAACATGCTGTTTTATTAAATAAACCAAGAAAGACGTCTCTGTTCTCAGCAAAAAGATTGGCATAGTCACTTAAAATATTCCAGATGTTTGAGACAGGATGAGGTCTTCAGTCTTGTTTAGTTTGGGGTATTTTGAAGTATTATTCATAAAGTGTGTTTGAAGGTGGGTTGACTTGAATAATGTGATTAAAATTGCTGATTTAAACGAGCAAGCTGGAAATCCTGAATTTTAATCATGTTTCAATATGTGGCTTCTAGACATTTCCCTTAAAAATAGTCAATTCTCTTTGAATCCTATAATTTGATACTATTCAACAACTGGGAGCACGCACCGGAGCGATACATATGTAAGCAATTACACAGCTTCACATGCTGTTGATACAGAATCACACTCTTAATAGCTTTTTTTCCTAGAGGAATTCATTTTTTACTTATTGTTTGTATTAAGTTGCATTTGGGAAATGAAACTCAATTAAAAAATACAAAACCAAAGTTTATATTTAAGCAATTTTCTGACCTTTTTTCTCCTTGACACCTTAGAAAAATAAAAGATGTCTGTCCAACCAGGTATACATTGCACATCTGCGTTACTGAATGAAGCTGAACGGTCTCACTTTCCAGAGACCTCCAAATCCTACAGCCGCTAGATCTCATCCTGTCCTGCTCCTTTTAAAGGGAAAGAAGAGTTTCCATTCTAATTAATTTCCCAACTCCAAATCATCTACCCAGTGAGTAGAAATAGCTGCGAAAACCCCTCCGTGAACCCGCAGAAAAGGCTATAGCTGTCGAAGGAGAAAGCCGGCAAACTCCTTCCTCCACAACTGGTTTGTATTCTTTACCACTTAAAATCCAAATACTTGGAATTTTTTAAACCACAGTTGAAATTATTTAAATACATGCTACTTCATGAACTTGGGTTGATGGATCTAGGAGAAAGCCACGGGGTTTAAGCAGACTACCCAGCGTCCCCAAAGGGGAGGTGCTGCCCGCCTGCCCCTCAATCACTCAGCCCTTCACCTCGCAGCCAAAAAGATAGCATCCAACTGGTAAAATACTTCCAGAGGACAACAATCCCTTGCCACTGCATGAATGGCAAGGTATTTATTGGGAATAAATGTCAAAGCAAAGCGACGGTGTTTATTTTCCAAGCTGATCCTGTGGCAATGCGCTGTTATGACGATGTTACTCCTGTTCTCGATTTATTCCCTATCTATTGGCACCCACTGCGGCTGCAGAAGCATCAGGACAGGCTTTGCTCTCCTGCACGAGCTGGAGCACAATTGCTTTCTGACTCAGACCGCTCTCTGGACAAACCGTCGCCGTGCCTGGGTGCTGCCACGCATCCAAGCATCCATAGCCTAAAAACACATGGTCTTTTGGAGGTCTTCCCGGTGCCTTAGCATTCGTCCTGTTTGGATGTGTTCAGTCTGTCCTGAAAGTTGCTTAAAGTGATGCCGAGGAAGAATTTAATTTATAGCCCTATTCTTTTAATCTTGGTCAGCCAGATTTTTTTCAGACATCCGTTTATTTCTTCTTATAATATATTAGATGGCGTAACAGCACCGGAGTCAGCTTCAAGGCAGCAACTCACTTGCAGAGGTTCTGCTGACATTTATAAACTGATCCTATTTCTCTCTTGTGTTTTATGTTATCAGCTAAACCTGTCAACTTAAATTATTGCCTTGTAACCAAATCACAGTTATCTGTTATTCTGTTATGTGTACGTTTCTGAAGCTCTATACCTATATCAAGCTTTGCACAGGTTGAAAACAAAACGATAAATAAATAAACAAATGAAAAACAGAACACGCTTCCACCACGCTCACAACTAAGGCAAAAATCAGGCGCGTTATATACAGGATAACTAAAAGCAGAGGGCTGGTGTGCTGAATATGCATCACGTAGTAATATTCAAGTAACCCCATCTCTCCTTTTCTAGACCAACCAAATGGCTAACTGTGTTTCCTCACTAAATGAGA